ACCTTATAGACCATGGCCTCCTTAAGAACACGCCCGAAGGTAAGCGCAGGCAGAGGCGGCGGCCGTCGGCGATTGCCTTTCGTTTCGCTCGATTCAGGCTGGGGTTTGTTGTGTTTATATTTATGGATGCGGGAGGTTTTGTTGATATTGGTGCTTTTTTTTTAATGTTTTTTCTTCTTCTTCTTCTTCTTTTTCTTCTTTTTGGTGTTTTTGGGGGAGGATTTGCTGACGTTTGTTTGATTCTCGTTGCAGACATCGCCCAGTTCCTGCACAAGGGCGAGGGGCTCAACAAGACGGCCATCGGCGACTACCTCGGCGAGCGCAACGACTTCAACCAGTCGGTGCTGGACGCCTTCGTCTGCCTCCACGACTTCACGGATCTCATCCTGGTGCAGGCGCTGAGGTTCGTATCCCCCCCCCCCTCCCCTTCTCCCCGCCCCTCTCCTCCCTCCCTCCCTCCCCTCGCCTCCACTCTCTCCTCTCGTCTCGATGCGAAGGCTGCAGGGAGATTATGTGGCGATAAGGGAAATCGATAAGCAAGTAGTGTTTGTTGTTGAGTGATGGGGCGAGTTGCTCTTCTAGGGGGGTTTATGTGAAGGACGAGGCAGGTTTTGATGGGCAGCCTTTAAAGATTTATAAAGTTAACGTAAGAACATAGATAGATACATAAATGGATAAATATTATATATGTATATATTATATTTATGTATATGAAATATTATATATACATACATATATATGTGTGTGTGTGTGTGTGTGTGTTATATAATATATTTTAGCCTAGGCTCCCAGTCCCAGGTGAACTGGTCCCGAACCGTCCTCGCGGCTCGGGCGTCGCTGTTCACCCGAGGTGTGTAACGTGGCCGCTGGGCCAGCTGAGCGCCCGCCTGACCGCCGTTCTCTCCGCAGACAATTCCTGTGGAGCTTCCGCCTGCCGGGGGAGGCGCAGAAGATCGACCGCATGATGGAGAGGTTCGCCCACCGCTACTGCGAGCTCAACCCGGCCATCTTCAAGAACCCCGACACGTGCTTCGTGCTGTCGTTCGCGATCATCATGCTGAACACGTCGCTGCACAACCCGGCCGTCAAGGACAAGCAGACCATCGAGCAGTTCATCGCCATGAACCGCGGCATCGACAACGGGGACGACCTGCCCAGAGAGCTGCTCGAGGTGAGGAGCCCCGCCCTTGCGTCACCCGGATTGCGACAGGCGCTCGCGCCGTCGCGCTGGGAAGGGCTTTCCTGTCTTGACTTTTATTCTCCATGTTAAGAAAATAGCTTATTTTTCGTGTCCAGTTGAAGATTATTCCATATTTTCTGTGTCCAGTTGAAGAATATTCCATATTTTTCGTGTCCATTTCAAGAATATTCCTTATTGTGCGCGTCTAGCTTTCTCCCGTCCGCCTCCCTAACCGAAGCCGTTCTCCCGCAGAGCCTGTACGAGAGCATCAAGACGGAGCCCTTCAAGATCCCCGAGGACGACGGCAACGACCTCATGCACACGTTCTTCAACCCGGACCGCGAGGGCTGGCTCATGAAGCAGGGCGGCCGCTACAAGTCGTGGAAGCGGAGATGGTTCATCCTCAACGACAACTGCCTCTATTACTTCGAGTACACGACAGACAAAGAGCCCAGAGGAATCATACCTTTGGAGAACATTGAGGTAGGGGCTTGGGTTGTGCCCTGGCTTGGTGGGTCGGGTTTTGAGAGGAAGGTCATGGGAGAATTGTAGTTTCTGTATGGTGGTTCACTTTCAAATGAATACTGGTTCATCACATTTAAAGAATGGGATCTAGTCAGAATGTTGCATGCGAATGGTGGTTAAATCTTATTAAAGAAAAGATGGTAATTTTATGCACCAACACTCATAGGATGCACCATGTAATAGGATACATTGCTTCATGACAATATTTAATTCATGACGATATTTCACAGGTTCGGGAAGTACAAGACCGCAACAAGCCGAACTGCTTCGAGTTATATGCCACCTCGACCGATTTCATCAAAGCCTGCAAGACTGACAGTGAAGGGAAGGTTGTGGAAGGCAAGCACACTGTGTACAGGATGTCAGCTGCCACCCCGGAGGAGAAGGAGGAGTGGATCAAGTGCATCAGGTAAGTTGCTCTTCCTTGGCCTTGGTGCAGTAGGTGTCTTGTGCCAGGTTCGATTTCGTATTTGCTCTGTGTTTCAGGGATTCCTTGATGATTGAAGTGTGAGAAGAGCTTAGAGTAACTGGGTTTTAAAATAAAGTTTGGAGTGTGATGGAATTGAATCAGAAGGGGTTGTTATGGTCACATTTCCTTGTTTAAGAATGAAAGATAGAGAACGCTTTTATTGTATCCTTCTCATGCTATTTTTTTTTTCTTGCAGACAAAGTATCAGTCATAATCCCTTCTATGACATGCTAGCCAAGAGAAAGAAGAATATTCAGAAGAACAGCAGTCGGTAATCATACCTGAGAAGAAATTCGCTTTCGTTTACTACAAAAGACTGAACACTTAACCCACCTGAACAATGAGAGGCTGTGCACGATATTCGCTATGGGACATATTTCAAGTTTTTGCCTGCATTCTAGTGAAAAATGCACAAGCGAGAGATCCTGTTTCAAGTGCTTGCATGTGAGAGAAAATATTTTACAGACTTATCAGAAGTGAAATAATGTTTCGAGTGCTCAGAGACACCCTCAGAATATATACTTGCTTGCTTGCATTAAACGTGAAAAGTGTGGGAAAAAAAGTACAGTACGCTTTAGCAGTTGCCTCTTTAACAAAGTGTTAAAAACTTTGCAGACGTGTGCGGCAACTTAAAAGAAACTACAAAGAGGTCATTTTATACAGGTCTCTGCTGGACAGTGTGATCATTGTCATAAAATATATCTTATTCCCTGTACAACCTTGTGTCCAGTCAAGATGTCTGCATGAACAGAGTTTAGATTAATTTCTAATTGTAAATATGTTTGTGAATAGTGAAAAATTAAATTTTATGAGACATCAAGGTACTGTTAACCAGTATCAGTCATTGATGCCAAGTGTTTACAAAGGTATTGTGTAATAGTGTAAATATTTGTATGTATTTGGCTTACTTAATTATGTATGTGAGCTAAGATATGAAATCTTCAGCCTCACAATAGAGTACCATGATTGAATGGAAGGCATGCAAAAGTCAGTTTGTACCAAATTGTGTGTTCGTAAACATTAGATAAAGGTTCGTAAATGGAGTGTCAAAAGAGTGGAGGCTTGTTGTGTGTGTGGCCAGAGTAGGTGCCGGATGTGGCTCTAATAAAGGTACTTCCAGACACCTGCTGATGTTGATGTGTTCTGAATTATATATATAAATTTGCTTGATAAATATAAAGTGTACCCCAGTCTGGAGGTTTTGTTTTGTTTGTAAATGAGTCTGTGATTTACTTTTTCATGGTGTGAAAGAGAGAGAATGAAAATGATCATGAGAAAGAGAGAGAGTGAGAATGAGAATGAGTGAGAGAGAATGAAAATGAGAATTATGGCCCCAGGAACAGGTGTTTAGAAGTTACATAACATTGTATACATTTATAGTTGGGGCCAAAGCACTTCACTCATCACACATCGGAAACATTCAGCCACACCAAAATAACATCAACAGCAGATTCTTCATCAAATCCATTTATTGCTGTACAAAAATCTTGTTGGTGAGCAGCGTTATGATGTAAGCAGTATCTTGGTGTCGTTGTTCTCTTCTGTGGATTTGATATTGTGCTGCTAATGCTGGTGATGGAATAATAACACTACTCAGGTGGTGGATAACAACAGATAAGTGTTGTGTGGTTGGTAAAAGCTGGCTTACTTTCCCCCCTTTCAGAGAGTGAAATACAAAAAATTATAAAAAAAAACAATCAAAATGTTACAGTTAGATACTATTTAAACTCACGTATTTTACCCATTGGAATTGTCACTACACTAGTGTAATTTAGGATTGAAAAAAATGCATGCTTCTCTCAGAAACCATCTTAATAGGCCATACTTCACCCCATTCCATTTCCATCTCGAGGCATGCATTTGACGCTCATGCTTAGCAAAACAACAAAACCTCCAAAGAAGAAAAAATAGGATTAAACTTTGATCTTTCGCTAACCGGTTCTCTCTGTGGGTGTTTAGAAAGATTCCCTCCTGGCATGTGTTGATGTTAGCGAGTCTGATGTTGGGAACGCCACCCTTATTTATCACTCATAGACAAATCTAATATTTAGTTCCATACGGCCCAATATCTGCAGTCGTAATCAGTGGTGCATGTTTCCACACAAGATGCTTGGATCTCATACTTTTTCATATTTATAATCATCTGTTACAACATGTGATCCTGTTGCCAGTTATAGGAGACTCTCCCTCCACTCATTTAGGTCAGCAATCCAAAAGCACTCCCTCCCCTTCGTCAAATCTTGGCTGCTAACTGGCAAGAGAGAAAGGCATGTTTTTATTGCTGTGATGGTTATCATATGGTGAGTACATAGGACTAGAGTATTATCCATACTCAGGATATTTTAAAATCATATCTTTTCTGGTTTTTGGTACGAAGGGATAACCAGTGACGGACTTGTCATTGGGTTGATATTCATTTGTTTGTTATCATCTGTATATTTTGTATTTTGTTTCCCCCTTCAATCTCATGGTATATATTGTTTAATGTTATTTAATAAGAAAAGCAAAAAAAACAAAAGGAAATTCCATGTCATTGATAAAGGAAAACGTTATCAATACAGCTACCAAAGAGATGTTTACAAGAATTTAATTTCTCATTTTGTAAAACTGCAACACCTGTTATGTATTTTTACTGCATCTTTTTTTTTTTTTTACTTCACACATGTAATACTATTTATGGCTTTCTTTTCCAATCAACAAATTCTTTTTATTACTATCCAACAGGGCACAGGCAGGTAATATCTGCATGTGAACTGGCCAATTTCATTAGATTTAAACTGTACAACATTTCCCCTGTGGTCAATGTCTATATTTGATTATGTACAGCCGTGAAAAGGTATTTACCCAGTTGTATATATTTCTGTAGGACTTTATATTATTGTAATTAATAAAGTGAAGACGGTTTTATGTTCTCTTATTTTACCAGATGTTTGGATATTATTTTTGAAATTCTCAAGATAAATTAAAAACATATGTGTTGTTTTTAATCTATAAAAGTGTTCATAATGATAAATAGTATTAATAGCTACATGAATAAACACAGTCTCATATGTTTTTAACTTTTATAGTATATTTTGCAAATAAGTAACTGTACCAGTACTAGGTAAAAATGCAACCCTTTCTACCAGATACATTTTAGCATTTTTTCATTATTTTTTTGTGTATATTTATTCTCTGCTCAGTAAAAGAGGGTAAATATTTTTTAAAATCATACTTTAAGATATGCAAATATTATTAGTTCCGGACTCAAAAGTGGCAAGATTTAAAAACCTATTTTTACCCCAGAATCAAATGGGTGTGACAAATTCATAGCGAACAACTTAAAGACGTGCAGGCAAATATCTTCATATTGAATGTTTAGTAAACAAACATATCTCTGATTAATTTAGCAGAAAATAAAGAAAGAAAATCAGTGGGGACAACTATATACAATTTGCTTAAGCTTGAATATCACGTTCTACCAAGGTCACATACTAAATAAATTCATCCAAAAGAAAACATGACTGGCATCTAACGCATTTACTGCAGACAACTGTCATCAGTATAAGTGATGACAGCGATGATCTCATATTAGGAATGTGAGAAGAATAAAATCAAAAGAGAAAATACGTCTGTCAGAACAATACCAAGAATACAAATATTTCAGTGTTCAGTTATACAGGAATATCTAGTGAACACTGTTATTCACTTAAACACAAACTAATTCGAAAATTTTCCAAACAGAACATACTTGAAGCTGTATACATATTGCCAGCTTTCAATTCTAAGTGATATCAAAACCTAACATCAGTAATGGCACCAGATTCTTGTTTAATTATTAATTTGGTCATTACCGCTATATATATATGCAGATTTAACGTTAGAAGAGCAATGAGAATCATTTAGCAATTTTTCTATGCTCAAGGCAAATTCTGTGCTAACACACCATCTTCAGGGAAGTCGACAGAATTGTTGTGAGGTCTTTATCTGGAAGCTTAGCTTATCGGTTTGTTGATTCCATTCAGATATGACTAATGGATGAGGGAATGCACCTGCCATGTTTCTATTATTATGTGTGTTATGTGTGTTGCGCGTGTGAGGGGGGAGAGAGAGAGAGAGCATGAAAATCAAGTCTGAATATCCATAAGATGATAATAATTTTGCTCTGGTATTGGTCGTATAACAAAACTATCATACCTTTACCAGGAAAGAATACCTGTATTTCGTATGAAGCTATTTTTTAATTCGTATAATTCCATGTCTAATACTATGGCGAGTCCTCAAAGTACGTTATCCACACTAGATAATCTTTCTAAAGTAAAGAATGTGGTTTACGCAGCAGTGACTGCGCGGTTACATGTGTCCTTGAACTAGGATTATGTATCATAAAAGTATGCTCTCTGTAAGCATTAGTACTGGGCAACCCTGAACGTGAATTATTTCGTTTTTTCTCTCGCTCTTTCTTTTTAAAGCATCAACAGGTTTGCATAAACCCGTTTCTCGAACAGTGTAATCAAGAGAGAATTTACAGCTAGTGGGTTTCGTGGAAGGGCAGCTTATGCAGGGAGGAGAGTATGAGCTGTGTTCAGCCCTGGAGAACAATGGTATTTCCGAAATTCTCCCGCGTGCATGCTCGCGTGGGCATTTCGGAATATATTACTGTGCTATGTTTTCGAATATAATAATGTCGTATATTTCAGGATACTATATTTTTACATATTCTTCCTAATCTGTTAGTTGCGGTTTTCCATTGTACCTTGATTCAATTTGCAAAGTTATCCAGCATGAAATAATAGTAATTTGATTTCCGTAAACTAATTAGTGAAGTGTTTGGAACATCTGCTGATATAATAGTGAATAATGATGCCACTTTGTATTGTTTCCAATTCTCTAATTATGACGGAAAGGAAATAGAAAAAACAGATTCTGTTGTGCTTATCGTATTATGAAAAAAGAGTTTGAATAAAATTAGTAATGGCTGTATAGCAATTTTGATTTGCAGATTTATAAAACATTTCTTCGAATTATACTAATCATCAACTGAAATAAGTTTGAAAAGGATGACAGACAAAAGAGACTCGGGTATAAAAGTTTTATTAATATCATCACAGGATTAACTGGGATATATATACACATTGATTAGGGTCACTGATATAAAGTAGTCGTGACATGCACATGGTACAAAATTATCATTTAGAACAACAAAAGCAGTCCAGCTCCGTGTAAGGAAAAAAATATGGATCAAGACGGGGAATTATGGGTCAACTAGAGGAAATACTAGATAGATCACTCACTGGAAAACAGCATGAGTTGTCCATATGGTGATTAGTAATATAAAACGACGATACATGAGTGTTGAACTAATGTTTTTATTAGGATGTGACTTTGGTTTTGATCCCTTAATTTATTGTAGTGTCCTATATTTACCCCCACTCGAACCATTTTCCCTCGTCTCCGGCCAACGTTTACCCCCAAGTCTAAAATTCAGGAGTACGTGTGATGAGCCAACAATTAATATCTTTAATTGAATTCGAGTCCTTAAATTTCTTCGCATCACATATACACCTTCTTTTTTTCTCTTCAGAAGCAGAGAAAACATACAAAATTTGAGAAGCGTGGTTGTAGACGTATAAAAACTGTATCACTTTTCTTTTAGACTTTTTTGTAAACGTTGGGCCGTAGCGTCGAGTTGTCTTTCAAACACTTTAATAAATATCAATGATTTACTGTCTTTGGTTCTGCTGTATGACTTTTTGAAAGAGGAAAAAAATGTTTCTGTAGTAAAATGGCAGTGCAGTGAATGAGCGAGAATATTTAACTATGTCATCAAATAATAGAAACCATATTGCAAATTTCTCGTTTTTTGTTATTTTATCATCAATGCTTACAAAAAAAAGAAGAAAAAAACAGTTTAGGATCTTTTGCTTATATAATCCATCAGTTATTTGCATAGAATTCAAACAGTCTAACTTTGTGGTATTTTGTGAGAAACAGCTAAAATGATTAAGCAAATATTAACCGATTTTACTTTTCCCTCTTGAATTCTTTCACAACTGTATTATTAGCCGGCAAACAGGGACAATGTACATGAATAGTAAGAAAACAATATATATATACCGTACCACAAGCTTAATTTTGTCTTAACGAACATAAAATCCCAACCTAAAAACATGAGCTTTTCAACAGTCAGCGAACGGATGGTGATTAGAGTCAAATGCTGGTCTATATGTCTATAGGTCTTGCGGTGAGTATCATTTCGTCCTGTATTAGCTTGTCCAAGTTATTTCCACGGTGAGCCTCGCAAACTTGCCCTTTACTTTCCCCGTGTGAAAATATGAACAAGGTAGAGAGTATTCTTCTAAGCGTAATCGAAAGGCCACAGGATTTCCAGAACTATCGAGGGAGTTTCAGTCAATTGTTCTTTTCACATTAACGTTATTGGGCGGTGGCGATTGTGTTTGCACTGATACGAGTCTATTTAACGGAAAGTATACGTGCGTTAGCTCATCGTCGTCTATCAATTCGTAAATGAAAATCTCCTGAAGGAAAAAAAAAAAATAGAGATACGAAAGAATCATATCAAATAGTCGTTTCTGGTCTTTAAAAAAAATGGAAATGACTGCTATTATTCTACGAAAAAAGGGATTGAAAAAATATACGATAATTACATTGTGCCTGTTTCACGTAGCTCGACTATCTTCAAAAAGCGTCTGTTTCTCACTTCTTTAGCGAATAGTTTGAAAGCTGTAACCCTGTATTTCTTCCCGAATGTTATCAGTGATTACTCCATCTCCCCTCCCAAAAATATTATGATAATTCGTCAATAAAAATGCTGAATAAATATTCTGTCCATGGATAAATGTACACAAAAGGCAATATCATGTAAATATCCGATTATGCGTTATAAGTGACGTTATGGTTGTTAAGCTGTCTGTACTACCAATTCCAGCCTCAAACATGTTTATGAAATTATGATTATGAAATGCATTGAATACTTATTGCCTTACATTTCCGAACACCTAAAATACTTTTTTTTTTTTTTTTACACAATTCACTGACGGACTTAGCCACTCGTCTATTTCTCGAGGTTGAACACCGCTTTAGGTAGGGTAATACTGTCATCTTCCGTAAATTCTAGAAAAAAAAAACCGGTGAACAAGGCGCTCTTCTGAAACGTTTCCTCAGCAACTAATTGAACATGTCGCTAATTACATCCGTAGTTGCATATTCTAACCCATTGACGACAAAGAACTATTATTTTCTTTTAAAAGGTATGAACACCAATCTAACTTAATATTTTTTTTCGCTTATTTTCCTTTTTTTGGTTTTTATTCATTTATATATATTATTTTTTTTTTTACCAAAGATGAGTGTACCCTACCACCCTTCCCCCCCTCCCCCACACCCCTAAACCCCCACGGAAGCTGTTGTAAAATGGTCATCATAAACACTACCATTAGGATGTGTCTTGTTTTTTTTTTTTTAAGTACACTTTCTCGTAGACGTAGGAAAAAATCTATATCGTACACACATTCCCACTGAGGCGCGTCAGTCATTAAAGAAAAAAAAAACGAAAAAAAAAAACATTTATCTATCGACTTAAATGAGACATCCTTACGATTTGCTTCTTACACTCCACTTTCTTATATACAACAAACATGTGAAACCAACAGTCGTAAAAAAATCTATATTACATCGCAAGGGCATCGATCATACTCCACACTAGCCTAGAGTTACCCTTACGTTATACAATCACGTCGCAAGTACGAACACTCTTTGGTTGCTCTGTGGCACGATGACTGGTTCTCAGGCCTCCTCCGTCTGTGTGGCCCCCGGCGGGAGGCGCAGCGGCCCGGCGCCATCGGACTCCCCGGCAGGAGGAGGCGTAGACAACGGACGGCGCCCTCGCACTGCAGCCCCGTCGAG